GTGATGCAAGATATATTTCTGAAAAACTTGTGCTGGAAGGACCGCCATTGCTGTTTCTACCGCCAGTTGTCTTATTCTTCAAAGTTGCCTTACTGGCACCAATGCTAAGAGCTGTCTGATCTACAAGGGATTCGGTCATTCTTATAGTTAGGAGCTTATTCTTATAGGAGCTTCATCACTGGAAGCTTTCAAGAAGAGATTAGACTGCTATCTGTCAAAAATAGTGTAGGGTCTCCTGCTTGGGCAGGGGGTTGGACTAGATGACCTATATGGTTCCTTCCAACTCTGTTAATCTAATCTAATCTAATAGATGGATTTAGAAGCTGATCCAGATAATGGGAAGGAATAAGCAAAAGAAAATGCTATCTATAAAACAAATGTGCTGGTATGTTTTATCTTTCCTATGAGATAGAACAATGCAAAATGTAAAGGGAGGTGTAAATCCTCGCACCTCTTATTCTGGGAGTTTTTCCACCAGTTCCAGCAGGGCTGATTGTGGGGCTGTGCTCTTAAAAGTCCTGCCTCTGTGGAGGGCTGTTTTCTGGCTAAGCGAGTGGTGAGCAATGGAGACAGCCATGCCTCTTATGTTCCTAGCTAGCAATTCTCTATTATCACATCTGGCTGGTGTGTTTACAGTGCATATTAACTACTGCTGCAGTTGCTAATAAGGCAAGACTCAAAGTACCCTCTCCCTTGGCTTAGATCCTCCACTTAACTCTACAGCACGTAGCAGCCAGCAACAGAAGGACTTGGAGTTAGCAGTAATGGCTTTTTTTAGAAGTCACAGGAACATGGGGACTGTCTTTGCAATGGTGAGGAGGCTTCCTCAAGAGCAGGCTGCCGGATAGGTGGAGAAGCCATTCGAGCCACGAGATTTGGCTTGGATCTCCAGCGCTTCTGTTTCCACCACTGCACCCTCATGCAGCTCCGAGGGCTGAAATGAGGCCTAATTTTGTAGCCAGCCTTCCCAACCTCCTGTGTTTTGCCTGTGCTGGCTTGAGAGGTGTAATCCAGGCATAGCTGAGAGCACCAGCTTGGAGGAGATTGGGGTGGCAACAGCCAGACTTGCCAGAGTCAGTGCTTTGATCATTTAAGACTGGAATAAGGTCTTGTTATTAATATTGCTGGAGAGTAAACCATCCCTCTTGCCTTGGGCCGATGCCTCCTGTTGGCCATAGCTTGTATTTTAGCCATTTCCCCTTGGCAATGAGTCCCAGAGGGGCTTAGCTTGTTCTCCAGCACCTTGAAAAAACATTGTCAGCGCTTTTTCATTTGGACTCCCCATTTCCTGCCCCGAGTCATCTGCATTAAAATGGGAGTAAAGCCGCCTTCTATCAGATGAGCAATATCAGATTGGCAGCTTCCCGGGTGCAGCTAGCAGCCAGCCTGGGAAGGCAGTTCCGCTTCTGCCTCTTGAAAGTGCTTTGTGGGTGTTGTTCCCTTGCTGATTTGGGCTGAGCGGCTTCCTCTTGAGCAAGGCAGTGAAATGGCACTGGAGGATGGGATGCTCAGGAATCAGCGTTGCTTTCCAAGCTGCAGATGAGACGTTGATGAGCATGTGGTCTCAGAAGAGCTGCCCCTTGGAGAGGTAGGACTTCTGAGGATTCTGAGGAGAGCAGATTCAGAAGAAGCAGGGAGTTCTTGGGGAGAAGGAGAAGGGGGGAGAAGAATATGCTTACATTAAAAATGTCCTTTTCAGAAAACGGTGCATAGAGGAGAAGGAACTTGGCCGCTTTCTTTCTTGTTCTGTTTGCCTCTCCATCCCTTTGACAATCTTCTCAACATCTGTATATAGGCAGCAATCTTTGGAAGCTGCATTAAAGGAAGCAGGGGAAGAATGGTCAGAAAATATCTCACCCTTAAACCCCCATCAGTCAGGGGCATAAAATAATAATAATAATAATTCTTACTTTCTATCCAGCTCACAAGAGAAGAATATTCTCCTGTTGGGCCCAGTCATCCCAAATAGGAATAATAGTTCTCCACCCAAATATATTGGAATGTTTTCAAGTTATCTTAAAACAAAGCCTATCATTAGAAGAGACGCCCGCAGTTTGCCCTCTGGGAAATCTTTGCTACACTGCTGGGAATGAAGATGGCTTCTGCCCTCCCCGGCCTGTAGCCCTTTGGACCATGAGAAACTCCCCCCCCCCCACCATCACTCTCCTCTTGGCCCTGTTCATTGGGAAGTCTGGGAGCTGCTCCCAACACACCTGCAGGGCAAAGAATTGGAGCAGGCGATGCAGAGCAACCCAATCTTAATGTTCTTTGCAAATATTAAGATGAGACTTCCTGTCTTCTCCAGGTGTGGCTCTGAGGTGCCATTCAGGTTCTTGTAGGGCTGGCTGCCAGAACTTTGAGGTATGTTTTGCAATGCTTTGCTTCAGCAATACCCTATGGTGGAGAGTTCTGCAGATTTCCTGCCAGATTTCTGTAAGAGAGTGAAAAAAATGGTTTGCCTTATAAGCCTATACAGCTTAGTCCTTGCAACAATAAGAGGGAGATAAGTGTTGCTTGGAATTGAAGAGGCTATAATCCTATGGAATTAAAGAAATATAATTGGTGAATAAATTCTGGGATTTATGTTCTCTCTCTGGCACGATCTTTGGGACAGGGTTAAGCTGCTGCTGTTGCCCCTGACTTCAGCTTTCCTCTGCAAGCAGGTACATCATACTGGTGCCTTTCCATAAACCAGAAATTCGGACTGTTCAGGTGCTCTGAAATAGAATGATTCACAGTCCAGCTTCTTCTGTTAGGAAAGGAAAAGGTGGCCCCATGGCTGGGATTGGACTTCTATGACCTACAGCTTAAAGTGCATGGGAGACTGCAAGACAATTGCAGTCCAGGAGTCAGGAGACCAATAGGAGACATAAGGAATGGGCCGAAGAAGAAATATCCAGAATTGGGATAATTGGAGGATAGAGGTTCGTTCTCCAAGCTTGTGGATTGGTTTNAAAAAAAATATTTTTAAAGAAAGAACACTACACTCAGGTACAGAAAGAGCATAGTGAGGAGTCAAGGATGGAGAGAGGTTTGGGTGGGGGGTTCATCGGAAAGAGCCCCCTCTCACTCCCCCCACCCTTCAGCAAGACAGGCTCCCAGTGCCATTGATGTTCTCCAGAGTAATTTTGCCTCTGACACCTTGCTAGACACAGCCAACTTTCACAGTGGCCATGGAGAGCCTTTCCAAAAAAAAACCCATCACTTATTAAATTTGTTATAGTTTAAATGGCTTCTATTCTTACCTCTCAAGAGGGCAAATAAAACATCAAAACAGTTTTATAATCCAGGAAAAAAGGTATAGTTATTATTAATCCACTTAAAAAGCCTCACTGAAGTGGAAGAACTTGGTTCCTTTCTGAAGAGAACAAAACATAACGTTGCATAACTTGAGATTAACCAAGGAGAAGTCCTGACAAAGTGAACTTGGAAAGTGAAGGCATTTTGAAGAGGATCGTATGGAGATTGGCGGTCTGTACAGACGTCAAGCCTTAAGTCTGTTAGGTCATCATTGGTTGAAACCAGTACTTTAGAAGGTGACTGGGAAGGGTTTGGTGACAAAATTCCCTACAAGATGTAGTAGATCAGAGGTGTCAAACTCGCAGCCTGCAGGCAGGATGTGTCACGCACTGACCACACCCACCCCTGGTTTAGCAAGGGGGGGGAGTCACAATATGTCACATGACGACGTGAGTTTGATACCCCTAAAGTAGATGACTCCATTAGGATCCCTTAGTAATATTAACAGAGGTGTGGTGGCGCGGTGGTTAGAGTGCAGGCTACTTCTGCTGACTGCCGTCTACATGCAATTTGGCAGTTCAAATCCCACCAGGTTCAAGGTTGACTCATCCTTCCGAGGTGGGTAAAATGAGGAGCCAGATGATTGGGGGCAACAGACTGACTCTGTAAACCACTTCGAGAGTCAGTCTGTAAAGCACTGTGTAGCGTAGACCTTAGTCTGGGTCCTATTGCTATTAACTTAAGGGTATCATGTGTTGCCTAAAATTCTACGCATGGACTTTTTAGCCAAGAAATTTTGCAGTTGAATCCAGGATTCTCTTCGCATCAGACATGTATTCTAAACAGATGAAGTTCCTTCAGGAACATCACATGGTTTATTTGATAAGCCATTTGTGGCTTGTCAAAGGATGCGGGCCAGGCCATTTCAGGTACCATGAAGTGGCATTTTTTTTTTAATTTCTGCCTATTTATTAGAAAATGTAGCCTATATGGAGTCAGGAAAGCATCTTTGGCTCTTTCAGGGGCGCATTGGGTATGAAATTTTGTTCTTTGTATTTCTCTCCCCCCACCAAATCTCCAGGTTCTTGAACGGTTGTTCCAGAAGGGGTTCAATGTGGCAGCGTCCTGCGGGGGAGGCGTAGATTCCTCCCAGTTCAGTGAATATGTGCTGTGTCGTGAAGACAGGAGACCACAGCCCAATACCACCATCAGGATAAAGCAAGAACCCCTGGATTAAGGACGGACTCCCTCCCTCCTTTGAGACAGTAGGTGGGTTCAAAGGTCCCTTGGGTGGAAACACTTGGGACTCCCAGGACAGTATTATGCAGGAGCAGCCAGCCTGTTTCCGAAGCAACCCTGTTGCATGGCCAGCTGTGACTCTCACGTGGAAGCAAGGACAATGACCCAACCCAGAGGTCTTTGTATTATCACTCAAGTCGTCATCGCAGTGCACTTGGAAGTCTGGCGTTTTGTGGGATTGTATTGGCCCATGGAAAGTAGTGATGCTTCTGTAAAGAACTAACTGGACTGAATTTGGTGGAAAAGACCAGTTGATGTAATTAAAGTATGTCTCACTGAAGGAATAAGCCCACCAGCTTTCTGGAGGACAGTCCCTCTGTCCTACGCAGGTGACGAGATCTTGATAGCTGCCAGAAGGAAGCTGGTGGTATTCTGAGCGTCTTCCCTCAACCCTGACAGTCATTACTTTCCTATCTCCATTTGTTACTCACCATCCTTTACTCATTCCTTGGATTCATTGTATTATGGCTTATTTTTCTATGGCAGCTGTCTTAGAGGAGCCAGTTCAGGAAGGGACCAGAGCTCTTATGGTGCTGAACCTGATTTCATTCTTTCCAGCCCCACATCTTTACTGCCCTCCTTCCCCCATGCGCATACACATCTCACACAGCTGCAAATTCTAAACAAGAAGAGCTTCAAAATCAAGTCCTTTTGCAAAATTATGTAGGTCCTGAGGTGAGCCCAAGTTATGGTATGCTGGTTTTCATTGTCGTTAAGAACGGGAACTGGCTAAATTGTGTCTCAATCACCTTTCATTCTTCACTTGAATTCAGTCCCCATATTGCCTTGACTCATGGAAAGGGATGATGCCACACTGATTGGATGCTGCGTGTCATCTTTTTAAATGACACAAAAGTGTGATGCATTTTTTTTCTTTTGAGCAACTACTTTAAATACTTTGCTTCCATTCACAAATCCTTTGGCATCGGCATTCTTTGAGAAAATAAACTTGGTTTTCAATCTCTGAGCAGTCATGACAGTTCAGATGATCCAGAAAAATCTGCCCATTTATGCTGTGCCATGATTTGGTGTTGTATGAATTACTCTCTAGGTTGTATGCCTTGATTGGTCAGTTAGTGCATCCTTCCTGACCAAAGGAACTTCAAACCTGTTGGGGCTGCCATTTCCCAAAACCCAATGGATGTAACCCATAGGAAGAGGGATGATGAACACAGTGTAATTGCTAGCACTATTTTCTTCCCCCGCTGATTGACCGGTTTTGCACAAAACTCAAGAATCCAAGCCCAGGCCAACATGCAGGAGGTGGGCAGCATTTATATGCCATGCTACATGCTCAAATATTGAGGGCCTTTAGGACTTTGAAGGGTGGCTTGTCTTACAATGGTCCCCTCAAGAAAGCAGAATTCTTGAAACAGGTAGCATTTCAGAAGGAACTTTTATTGGGTGACAGTGATAGCAAAAAGAACAAGCAGGATCTAAAGTTCCCACACTAAAAAATTAGGCTAAAACTTGTTCGTTAAAACTACGGCTCAGTCCGACGCAGGCCAATCACCATCCACCCATCTTGCCAAGGTAAGTGCTTCACTTCCTAGAATGCACTGAATCACAAATATCTATTACTCAGCATGGCAAATCAGGTTGTGTGCACCTTGCAGTTGTGCAAAGTGTTTTGAGTTTTCCGAGTAAGTCCCAGTATGTGGTTCTGCTCAAAAGATTAAAAAAAGGAAAGGAAATCTCCACCCCTGATGCCTCCTGAGTAGTGTATTGAGTGAGAATCCAGACATTCTCTATCGGTTTAATGTGGAATCCAGGGAATTATAGTTCTGATAAGGTGCTAATCTGGCCAAGAACCTCAGTTACTCTTCCCCCCCCCCTCAAAAATGCACTTCCCAAGAGGCTCCACTGCCTGGAGGGCAAATCAAACTGCCAATTCAAAACATTTAGGAGAAAAGGCAGTTTTCTTGAATTAGTAAACCTGCTAAGATGGATGAATCGCTCTAATTGTTTGAAGTTCAAGAAAAAAGATGTATACCAAAATGTGGCAGGGGCACCTAAAATGGAACGGCCCAGGACCAAAAACCCGCCCTTAGATTTTGGCACCCCTTGTGAAGAATTTCATTAAGGAAATTTGGTATGCCAGAAAGCTGCTGCTCTGAGCAGAATACCCCATTTTGAAGTGACCAAGAGTCTTTTTCACATATTTCATCAGCAAGAGTAATAATCGAATTGCTACAAATAGAAATATTTCTATTTGCTACAAATAGAAATTCTCCAGCAAATTTGGGGGTAGGAAGGAATTTCACCAGAGTAAAGCAAAGTTCTCCCAACAATTTAAGGACAAAACCAGTTAACTGTGATAGGCAAGAAGGGGGGAGTGTCAAACTACATGATGGCAGCCATGTATTGCATTTTGCAAGAGGCTGCCCCTGCAGTTTTGCTGCCCTCTGAATGGTGCTGAAGGTCACTAAGAAAGGCCAGGAAGACCCCTTCATGATCCCTTGGGCTATAATGGAGACCCCAGGAACCTGGGAAGAGAGATCTGGGAGAGGGCTACCAGGAAAAACAGGACATTCTCTCTCACACACAGAAACACACACACACACACACACACACATCCCTTAGCTACCTCAGAACTAAAGTACAGAATTGTCACAACACACCACTTTTTCACTAAAGTTCTCTTTCAAAGTACAGGTTTTTTTTTTTAAGTACGCTACTTTCATCAAACTGAGTGAGAGCTGTTACGCAAAAAAAAAAAATGTTAGGAGAATTTCTCCATCTGTCCCCCCCANAAATTGCTTAGAGAGGGTTGCGAAGCACTGTGAAACAATTAATAAGCCTAAGTGACATTGCTGTTGCTGCGTCTGTTGCTTCAGTTTATTGTATGGCTCTTATATGCACAAGTGGAACAAAAGGCAGGCAGGCAGGCAGGCAGGCAAATACACTGCAATCACAACACCTTGGAGAGGTCAGAGTGAGCATCCGCGCCCGCTACAGCGGCTGGCAGGACTGGGTAAGCCCCTTCCAGGGTAGGACTTTGGCCACATGGCTGTGGCTGCCATCTTGACTTTTTGACTCCCCAACCCACCACCCCCATGCAAAAGGGAATAATGGACCTTTTGGCATGAGTGGAATATTAACCTTTTTTTAAAAAAAGGTCTGTGTTTGCAGGGGTCAGGGGAACAATCCATTGATGCTTCTAGTCTCTCCTTCTCCCTTCTTTCCAAAGGACTTCAGTCTTTTGTATGAAGAAGCCAAGTATTACCAGCTGCAGCCGATGATCAAGGAACTGGAGCGATGGAAGCAGGAGAAAGAGCAACAGAAACATTTCCAGCCCTGTGACTGCTTGGTGGTGAGGGTGACGCCGGATCTCGGTGAGCGGATCGCCTTGAGTGGGGAGAAGGCGCTGATCGAGGAGATCTTTCCAGAGACGGGAGATGTGATGTGCAACTCGGTGAATGCCGGCTGGAACCAGGACCCCACCCATGTCATCCGCTTCCCTTTGAACGGCTACTGCCGGCTGAATTCGGTACAGGTAATTCTGCCCTTCTGCCTTATTTTTTGTCAGCGGAAGAATCCTCTTTGCTTTCGTGTCCCTCCACTTAGTGCGTGGTAACATGGTTTATGGCAGGGTTATGAAACTGAAGCCCCGAGGGTCCGGATCTGGCCCATGGGCCCACCCTGGAAAGAGTGAAGGACTGGCCCACGGTGCCTCTGCCAGTGAAAACAGAGCACGGGAAGGTCGCACAGTCCTCCCTGGCTCTGTTTTCACTCGCAGAGGGATGCCGGAGGTTGTCGCAGCTGAAAACTGAGCCTCATTGAGTGATGTCGAGCTGGCCACGCCCCCAGCTCCCTGAGGTCAGACACAACCCTGATGTGGCCCTCAATGAAATCGAGTTTGACACCCCTGGTTTATGGTGAGCTCATGCACTGTTCAGAGTATTTCCTTCCCCCCCACCCTTTCCTCTCTCTTCTTCTTTCCCCTCCCAAGTTCAAGCAGGAGAAAAAAATAGATTTAGATTTTGTATATGTTAGCACCACGCTGATCTCATAATGGTGTTAGCCTGACAAATGCTAATTTTTTTCATCACTGCATACCCTGCAGTCCTCTTTTTCCTTCTACATTGCCCCTAGGAATGGGGGGGGGGGGAACCGATCAAACTCCAGTACGTACAAAAGGAGAAAAGGAAAGAAAAGGGGGAGAGAAATGTTTTGCATGCCACTTTGTAGAAAATGCAACAATGTTTAAATGCATAATTTATGTCCCACTCATAATTAAATAATAGAGCCTGCAGGATGGACTTTAAAAAATGATCTCTGCACTTCCCCCCCCCCAAAAAAAAGATGTACTGTAAAAATTGCCCAGAGTATTTAAAATAAAATGTGTTCCACTTTATACTCAAAGGTTTTTGTGGGATTGATTGAGAGTTTTTTTTCCTTCTATCCTTTTTTAAAGTTTTAAAATTAGGTCTTGAAACAAAGGCAGGCTGATCAGCAGGTGCTGGAAAAAGCAAGCTGGGTTCCCTGTGTCCTTTGGCGTCTTCTGTGGAAGAGTTCTCCCACCAGGGCTAGTTGCCCCCAGGAAGGGGGACCGCTCAGCAGGCTTTGATAGAGCCTCACTAATTAGGGAAGGCCAAAAAACATGGGTTTTCTTGCATGAGATTTTCCTTAGGTGCCATGCAGGAGGGAGTTCATTTCTGGCCAAAGATTTGGGCTGGTGGGAGCCAAGGAATAGCAATAGCAATAGCAGTTAGACTTATATACCGCTTCATAGGGCTTTCAGCCCTCTCTAAGCGATTTACAGAGTCAGCATATTGCCCCCATAGTCTGGGTCCTCATTTCACCCACCTCGAAGGATGGAAGGCTGAGTCAACCTTGAGCCGGTGAGATTTGAACCGCCAAACTGCAGTTAGCAGTCAGCTGAAGTGGCCTGCAGTACTGCACTCTAACCACTGTGCCACCTCGGCTCCAGGAAGGAA